CAAGGGGAATGTTCACGGACTTTGCGGACGACATAGAAAATTTACTCAAAATCTTCTCCACATAAGAAATTTGATTAAGAAAAAGCACAGAGTTTTTTCTATCACGAATAATGTTCATTCCAAGAATCCTTTTAGCATCTCCAAGGTTTTTCATATCAAATTTATCACTTAGACATTTTTGAACATGCTCAATAGACTTAATACAAGGACCGATCAGCAACATATCATCAACATATATGAGCAGAAAAACAGGAACAGAAGCATTTTCTTTAAAGTACAAACAATGGTCATAAGAACTTCTCTTAAATTTTAAAGAAAGCATGAACATATCAAATTTCTTGTTCCATTGCCTAGGAGATTGTTTCAAACCATACAAAGATTTCTTTAACAAACACACATAATCAGATTTCTTATCATCCACAAAACCGACAGGTTGTTTCATATATATTTTCTCATCTAATTCACCATGCAAGAAAGCGGTTTTAACATCCATTTGCTTTAATTCCCAATCAAAATGAGCAACTAAAGCAAGCATGATACGCACGGTGGTGAATTTAACAACAGGAGAAAATATTTCGGTATAATCAATACCCTCACGTTGAGTGAAACCTTTTGCTACGAGTCTAGCTTTAAACCTAACCGAATCATTTTCTTGTTTAACCTTATACAACCATTTGCAATCCACTAAGGAACAATTATCAGGTTTAGGCACAAGCGACCAAGTATGATTCACATGCAACGAATTAATTTCTTCACGCATAGCATTCATCCATTGCAAAGAATTTACAGATTTAAGAGCTTCCTCATAACACTTGGGCTCACAATTATCAATAGATTCAAAAACACCAAAAGCATATGAAGTCATGTGAAAATCATCAAACTTAGAAGGTTTCTTACGCTCCCTTCTAGTCCAAAAAATAAAAAATAAAAAAAAAATAAGGGAAGGCTTGTTTTTATTTGAAATATTTCTCTTTTCAAATTTATATTCATTATTTATGTATGTGTGTGTGTGTGTGTTTTTACAAGAAAATAAGTCGAAGCCTAACGAACACTAAAACATATAACAACACACAACGTGTGAGTAAGCCACACAACATTATTCACTCAATTCTTTCACTTAACCCCAAAACCTTGTTTAATATCCTTATAGTTATTGATTAAAAATAAATTAAGTGTAGTGATAAATTTCAAGGAAATTAAATCGGTCAAAACTCAGCGCTTTTTATATTAAAAGGGTTTAAGATATTATACTTGGCACAAGATTAAAGTATAAAAACCACATTACTATTCTAATGTGAGTAAAGAATAATTAAAATGGTCTTAATTAAGTCTTAACATAGTTAAACTAGTAATTTTCTAGTAGAATTTGGGAACTTCGGACCAAGTATTTGAAAATGAAAATGAAAGTAGAGAATAATTAAAAGTCAATGAATTCCATTATGAATTGACATTAAATATATTTAGAGAAATTGACATCAAACATATTTTAAACTCTAATATAATTCGCGGGTCAAACAAGTGATACAATTCACTTATCAAACCAGACGACACCAATCTGCTAACAACTAACAATGTTGACTGTTCGAACAAATTCAATTCGAAGAGGACCAAAAACGAAAAACATGACTTTCTTAAATGTTCGTTTAAAAATAAAGTGAATGATGTAGAAGAAAACAATATCTCTCCAGTCTTGGTTCCAAATCTAATCTGTGTATTTCCTAAATATTAAATTTATTTATTTTACTATTTATAAACAAAACTCCACAAGTTCAATTATTATTTTAATAATTTTATTTTCTATTTAATAAAAATCCATCATTCTTCTCTTAAAAAAATGTTCGTTACTATTGTGTATTGGGAAGAATATAATAATAAAAATATTTCATTAAAAAAATAGCTGACGTTTACTTAAAAAAAAAA